GCGCTTGCCTTGCATGCATGAGGCCCTGGGTTACATACCTCAGCACCACATACACAGAAAAGGCCGGAAGTGGTGCTGTAGCTCAAGTGGTAGAGCACTAGCCTTGAGCTGAAGAGCGCAGGGACAGCGCCCAGGCCCAGAGTTCAAGCCCCAAGACCAAAAAAAAAAAAAAAAAAAGTGGGAATAAAATGTTCACTGAGTGAACTGAATGTGGGCAGGAGAGGCGGTCTCTGGGGCCAAGTCCTTGACTTAGAGGACATGGGCTCTCTAGGGACAAGGACAGCACTGGCAGCACAAAGCTTTACACCAGTAAAACGGCTGGGACCCTCAGAGAGCCAAGATAGGTGCTCTGTAGTTTCTCAGTTCCCAAGATTCCTTCTTGGCACCCCATCTCATTATACTTCTCCAAGTGAGTCTCCTATTCAACCTAGCATTAATCACCCTTGATGATGCTAAATGAGATACATAGACTCTACAAGGGAGCAACATCTTTTCCCTATGTAGCCACTTTTCCTCCCAAACCATTAACATGAGACATGTTGGTTCAGTTAAATGTTACTCTTTGATCAATATGCTCCCTAATAATAAAACTTTCCTGCAGAATTTTAGGTGGAACCCCCAAATTTATGTGTATTTATACCATACCATATATTAAGTATTCTGGGTACACTCCAATAATTATGATATAATGATTTTACTAGTGGAGATGAAGTTAAGGGGTTTATGGTGATGAAGAGAAAACCTGTCATGGAACTCAGTGGTAGCAAGTGGCTGTGAGATCTACCATTCATAGTTAACATTACGAAGTACCTCTTCCAAGCTGAATGTCAAGCTACAGAACCCCAGCTCCCAGCCTTCAAGTGTGAAGCTAAATTAAGCTTGTGGAAAGTGCAACTCACAATGCAGTGCATTTCCCCACACTGAAAGTACTAAAGTCTTCTACCACGAGAGGCATGCTGGTGAATGTTTAAAACAAATTGAGCTGTTTAACCAAAGATTGAAGATGGAGGAAACTAAACAATGGAATTGAACATATTTGCTACATTGTTTAATTGGGAACTAGCTGATGTGCTGGATAACCTACAAGAAGAAATCATTTTGCTGCAAAGCCATGATGAACTGAAAGCCACTGAATTATTATTGTCAGTTGTGTTGTGGGGCTTTAACTCTGGGCCTGGGCGCTGTCCCTCAGTTCTTCAGCTCAAGGCAAACACTCTACCACTTGAGCCACAGCACCACTTCCAGTTTTCTGATGGTTTATTGGAAATAAGAGTCTCACAGACTTTCCTGCCCAGGAAAGGATTACAGGCTTGAGCCACCAGTACCCGGCAAAGCCACTGAATTCTATAAACATTATATAAACAGCCTGGCACTGGTGGCTCAAACATGTAAACCTAGCAACTCAAGAGGCTGAGATCTGAGATCTGAGGTTGGTGTGAAGCTAGCCCACACAGAAAAGTCAGGAGGTTATTATGTTGTTAACCAGCAAAAATCCAGAATTAGAGGCATGGTTCAAGTGGTAGAGTGTTAGTTTAGAGAAAAAAGCTCAGGGACAGTGTCCAAGCCCCTCAGTTCAAGTTCCAGGACTGGCATAAAAAAAATTACATAAGCAATGATAAATTTCCAACTATGAGGAGACATGCTTTGAAGAATGAATCTGTACTCAGAAAGACTGCTGCAAACAGTTCTTTTCAAAACTCAGCACTGCAGTCAACTGAGCTCCAGACTCACCATCACAAACTCAGAAAAGCAGTTGGAGTAACTTCATCGTCAATACCAGTTACCATCACTAGAGAAGCAGTTCCCAGCCACCACATTAGGAGTTAATTGAATGCATGACCAAAGATAGTGGACAATTTTGTATGGCCCTAGAATTATATCCAAATCGTCATTTGGCAGAAAAAAAGGTCTCCAGCCCTAGTTTAGTAGGATATAAAGTCCTTAAACTTCACACATACACATAGACACACACACAGATACACAGAAACTCATCATGTCCTAATAAAGATCTTTAAAGACTTTCCTCCTTTTCAGAGATGGCTGGTTTTCTCTTTGGAAGTGCCGCATTTGATAATAAATCCTTTCGGTTGAGCAAATCTCCAGTTCTTGGCATTCTGCTCTTCCACAGTGCACTGAAAATAAAAGACAATTTTAACATGTAATGCATTTCACAGCTTCTGTAGACTGCATTAATCAAACTTGGTGGCAAATGTTCTTTTCTGTTACCATTCAAGTGAGTTTGACTATTTTTTAAGCCCCATATTTTGTTTTCATTAGTTCTTTTCCTGTGACCTTTGATGCTCAAGACTGAATTAGTCATGATCCTTGTATCATCTCTATTCTTGCATGAATTTGTGTGATATCCTAGCTCAGTTCCAAGTTGAAAACATCACTGTTAATTTAGACTTACCTGTCCTAATACCTTCAGCTGTCCCTTGTTTGTTCTCTATCGGTGTCCTCCAAGTTTTGTACTTGCATTTCTTTTTTTTTTTTGGGTCCGGTCATGGGGCCTGAACTCTGGGCCTGGGCGCTGTCCCTCAGCTCTTCAGCTCAAGGCTAGCGCTCTACCACTTGAGCCACAGCGCCACTTCCGGCTTTTCTTTTCTTTTTGCTTATGTGGTGCTGAGGAATCGAACCCAGGGCCTCAGGCATGCAAGGCAAGCGCTCTACCACTGAGCCACCTTCCCAGCCCCTGTACTTGCATTTCTTGATGACAGTATAAGTATCAATTCATGTTTGAGTTTTCCAGGGAACACAATGTTTAGCTGAGGCTTTTTTTTTCACAAGCCATTGTTATTTATGTCGTTATTTCCACTACTGGAGATGATGTAACACTACACATTCTCAACAAACGTTTGGATTATTTTGAATTTTTTTCTGATTCAGTATAGCTATGATATTGTTTTATAATATTCTAATGCATACATCCAAGATTCGTGTTGGGCTATAGATATTCAATGTCACCAGATAATCCCAAATTGTATTCTTTTGAAACCCAGATTTTTAAAATTTATTCTTTTGAGATAGTCTCCTCCATCTAAGTTAACTGGAAAACTTATCTTGCTTCCTCCCTCAACATTCTGAATGCTGGGCTAACAGACATGTGCCATCTTGCCTTGTGATTAGCTTTTGAACCTCAAACTGTGTGTGTGTGTGTGTGTATACATACATACATACGTACTGTGTGTATATATATATATATATATACATACATATATATATACACACACATACAGGATAGACATCTCCTCCCCTTTTTAAGACAAGGTCTAGTCATGTAGCCTAGCTTAGCCAATTTGCTGAGTAGCCCAGGGTAGCTTCAGTCACTGAGCATGCTCATGTTCAATCTGCCCTTGTTGCTTGACGGAAGTTTTATATATTCGTGGCACTGATCTTTTGTCAGGTTTTGTCTCCACAGCTGTGTGACTCTTTCAGATGCCTTAATTTCTGTAAATTTTTATTTTCAAAATTACAAAACATTGGCGCTGTGTCCCTATTTTCCCTTGCCCTATCAGCAAGTTCACTAGCCTGTATCTTAAGAACATTCTAAACTTTGCTTTTAAGTACATCATCTGGAGTTGGCTTGTACATACATTTAAAAAACACAACAGCAAATTTCTCAAGTCCCAGGCAACTGATCTCCACCCTCTCATCGCCACACAAATTCTAAATGACATCTGCTTCCAAACACCAGCTTTAATGTGAAAAGGCCTATTTTGATTGCTGTCAGCCTTAATCTTTGTGGTCCCACCCAAATTCTAAAATTTGCCCTTGTAGATTCTGTAATTTCCATCTGGATCTCATTTATTCTGCAAATATAAGCTGAACAAATCTCTGCCGTGCCTTAAAGGACTGACCCAAGCCAACACCCAATTAGATTAGCAATTATTAATACCAACTAAGCATTGATTGGGACTGGAATTTGGAATCTGGTACTGACAAACCTTCTATAATGCTTCAACTTGGACTTTCAGTAACGCCACAGAACAAACTATTATCAAGTATTTGGGTCTTACCAACATGTTTATATTCATTTCTGCAACAAAGTAGTGGTTAAGACACCCTTTTGCAAAACTGGGTAGTTGGAGTAATACATACTTGTCAGTACCGTTTGACCTGCTACAGGTACATGTCAGTCTTAAACACATTGAGTGCTCATACAGTGATGATAGCACACTTTGGGTCAAGCACACTTTCCCCCCAGTAGTATTTAATGCTGCAGCTACAGCTGGTTCCAAAACTCTGAGTCTGCTTTCAGTAATAGAAGACATTTTAGACATATCCTAATCAGTTTCCAGTCACAGTTCTGTCAACTTTAGGGATGATCAGTCTAAGATGGCAGCTTCTTTGTTGGCCTTGACTGGGTTTGATTATGGCGGGTCTTGTGACCACTTTGTGGGGAAAATTGGGCCCCTAAATTGTGATATACATTCTCATCCTGCCTTTCCCCAGTCTATGATCTTTACAAGCATGATGGTTAAGGCACATCCTTTCTTTCCCTAGTCACTGGGCTACACTTACTCAAGTACAAAGGTGTAACTGAACATACTCTTCACATGCAAACCCCACATCACTGGATTCTCCAATTGATGGGCACTATGTTATGTTCACAAGACAGACATGAAGCCTTGATTTGGGACAACTAGATAAATGAGTTACAAATAAGTTTATTATTCAAATTCCAAAGGGAAGAATCTCATGTTGGAAATCCTCATTTACTGGGCACTACTGGCAGAAAACATTAGCTATTATCAGTGAACTATCACAATATTAGAACCAAACTAGTAACTAGAGCCTAATAGGCCAAATGTGACAAATTTCTGATTTATAATTTATTTGAATGAGATGAGATCCCATCCTTGGTCTACTAAGTGAACAAAAATTTTCTATCCTTGGGCCTGGGGGCCAGGAGAAATGGAAAATCTGTGAATGAAGATGTATTATGTTGTCCTAAATGCTTGAGGTTTCTTTTTCTCCTGGAAATAAAGACCCCCCAAGGCCTCCATTGCACTTTTATTTTAATGTAGTACTTAGTTAGGACAATTGTCCCAAAGGGCAGATATTTCTCAATTTAATCAAATTGTAATAAAACAAGCAACGAAACAGCATTTGGGATTTCAGTTTTTCACCCTTATCATCAAGACTCACTGCCTCCCATCATCAATATTTATTGAGCATTTACAGTGTACTAGGCACAATAGAACATACAGAAAACATTGTCCCTGCTCTGGAGGAGCTTACATTCTAAAAGAAAAAAAAATACACCTCTTTTAAAATGGCATTTTTGTTTGGTGTTTTCTGTAAAGTACTGAGGGAATATTCTGTAGGGTGAGCTTTGGGTTTAACTTAGCCCCATCATTATTTAGAGAAGAAAGATTTAAAGGCAAACAATGACAGACCATTCGGGATAGAGTTTATAGGATATACACAATCTCATCAACTAAGGAGAGATGTGCTGCAGAAGAGGATGAGGGAAATAGTTTGTGGGATGCAAGCAAAGGAAGCAAGGGATCTTAGACATTGAGTGGAGCCAGAAAGATCATGCGGCCTTTTCCCAAGTACACGGCCACCAAGGAGGAATGGTTGGTGACAAGACAGAAAGCTAAAAAAAGGAAGGTAAGCCTGTGCACCTGACAAACAGAATGACCAAAATCAAAGGCAAGCTGTATCAAGAAATTCTCAAAAACCAAGTGATTTGGAAGCACAGAATTTACAGTTAATGCTACCCCAATGTCATGATGGGCCAAGAACATTGTGGCTTCCTAAGTTAGAAAATGCCATATACCAAAATTTTAACTGGAACATATTACTTTTCCAATCAATTTCCCCCTCCCCAAGGATGGGATGGGGGAGAATGGGGAATATGGGAGACGGTCGGTTGTTAGATTAATATTTTTGTTATGATAAACTTTGCACTTTAACTTGGTTAAAAGCCCATTAGCTGCCAAAAGGGAGTAAGGAACAAATTTCTAATAATGTACAATTGTTTTAGAGAAGTTTTAAAACCAAAAGACTAATTTACATGAAAAGTTGTAGAGAAAGTAGTTGAAAAGTCCATTCATAAAACTTTTATTCCACTTACATGAACTTAATACATGTGTTCTTAACAATTATGCTTGGATTGTTCATGAAAATTTCCTAAAACATTAAACAAAGCTAGCCATCATCTCAAGTTATTTCCCTGTTAACTATTTTTACAGCACATGCATGTTAGGCAAGTATCAAAAAAGAAAAAAAAAATCACAAAAGCAAAAAAAAAAAAAAAAAAATCTAAAAAAAAGTTAAATACATGGGGTTTTTTTGTTTACTGCTGTGCTTGATATACATGAATAATGAATACCAAGCAGTTCATTTTTACTGCATCTTTACTTTTACATTTGTTCTTAGGTTGCCTAAAACATTTAAATACAAATAAAATGTGTAGCAAAAATAATGAGAGCAAACAGCAGGTAACTTTACAAATAATGGAATGTGAACCGTTTCTGCCCTTATCCGGAGTTAACTGGGTCACAACTTTTGTTTCAAAGAACACTTCTGGTGCTGTAGTCAAGGGTGTGCACACGGAGATAGACTCTTCCACAGAAATACATGATTCCAACATGTAATATCCATGGAATATGTTTGTACCACAGCTTTGCAAGTGCTCCAAACCTTTAAAGTACCCACAATAACTACACCTGTGACTGGAACCAATTTTCCCTTTTATTCCCCACCAGTACAAACCAATATGTAGGCAGTTTTCTTCGTTTAGACATGGAAGCAATTTTAACACTGGCCCTTGTGAAGCCACAATGTACCAAAGTACTATGCCAAACATTTATAACTTGTATAAAAATTCCACATCCCCATATTGGCCACCTCAAGATGAAAACAGATAACTCCCTAAATGTTAACTGGCTCTACTCCCCTAATATTAAACATAAAAACCACATGGGAAATATAGAAATTCAAATAGAAGTAACATAAACGTCATAAATCGTAAACAAAAAACTATTTGTGGGACAGCATGGATGACAAATGGTCTACTGTGTAAATTTTAGAATGAGGCAGACAAAAGTTGGAAGGCCGGTTAATTTTCCCCTCCTTCTCCTGCTTCCGCTTCGTCTCCTTGGGTATCCGATGTCCACAACTAGTAAAAGAAGGAAATATTTTTTCAGTGTATGTTTCAGATACAACAAGGGGAAAAAAAAAAGTCCTATTTTCATTTGTAACCAAGGTCTTAGCATGTCACCGTGTGATTTCATTGAAAAGAATTCTTTGGGCTGGGAAGTGGCTCAGTGGTAGAGCACTTGCCTTGCATGCCTGAGGCCCTGGGTTTGATTCCTCAGCAACACATAAGCAAAAAGAAAAAAGCCGGAAGTGGCACTGTGGCTCAAGTGGTAGAGTGCTAGCCTTGAGCTGAAGGACTTAATTCGGCCCATGCTAAGCAACTAGTAAACCTGACTAGTCTCCTGACAGAGGGGATAATTTCTACTTCAAGGAAAATTCTCCATGGTATGGAAACTAGCAACCAGCATCACCTCTCTGAGCTGAGCAAAACAAACTTTAACCATTTGTTATATGACTCGAATGATGGAAAAATAGTATGGTCATAACCAAATATTCTGAGAGGTGAAAACAAATGTTGTCTCATAATGTAGGGATTATGGATTCTCTATTGCTAATTTTAATGTTCACTTTTCCAATGGGTTATGAAATAATTACAAAATTATTTATCTGGTCCTGGGCCTTGAACTCTGGCCCTGAGTGCTATCTAAGTTCCTTTTTGCTCAAGGCTAGCACTCTACCACTTGAGCTACAGCACCACTTCCAGCTTGAAGATAAGAGTCTCACGGACCTTCCTGCCTGGACTGGTTTTGAATGGTGATCCTTAGATCTCAGCTTCCTGAGTGGTCGGTCAGGTTTACAGGTGTGAGCCACTGGAGCTCAGTGATTCCAAAATTATTTCAATTGCGTCAATGTTAGAAAGTTTTGGAATTTTCCCCCTCAAGACAGTCTTACTATAGAGCCCAAGACATAGAATGGAAACCCTACTTCCAAATCATGTACTGCCTTCATTGCTATATTAACATCAAAATTCATCTGGATGTATAAATTTATACATCAGACCCTCAAAAAATCGTAATATATCTCAGGTTCCACTTTAAACAAGAACAAGGATTATTTTTAGGAGGGGTCAGGGGTTGGGAGAATCTTACAATGCTGACTAGACTGGGCTTCAAAGTTGTAATCATACTGACTCAGCCTCCTGACTATATGTAGGATTTAGAAGCATGCCCTCCTGGCCCAGAAAGAAATATTTCTTTTTGCCAGTATTGGAACTTGAACTCAGGGCCTGGGCACTGTTGTCTCAAAGCTAGTGTTCTACCACTTGAGCCACAGTGACACTTCTAGCTTTTTTATGATTAGAGCCTGGACTTTCCTGTCCAGGCTGGCTTTGAATTATGATCTTCACATCTCAGCCTACTGAGTAGCTGGAATTATGGGAGTGAGCCACTAGTGCCTGGCAGAAATACTCTTAATAAGTTTAATGAATTAAGTGCTTCATATGTAATATAGATTCTTACATTTGGAATGGGATATAATTCAGCAGTATAGCATCTGCTTAAGCATGCCTCAGTTCCTGGATTAAGTCCTCAGCATTACAAAAAAAAGTCTTTAAATTCTTTATTACTTCAAAAACCTCAAGTTTATAGGTAACTTTGAATTTACTTGTCATTTTGGCTATTTAGTAGATAGTAGACTAGAATTAAATTGGAAACAAAAGGATGACGTCTCCAAGATATGTAGCCCTAAAGCTAACAAACCCAGCAACACTAGAGTACCATCTCTAATTTCTACCTCTACCTGACACACAGCAGAGGCTGGATATTTTTTTTTTTTTTTTAACCTAAGCCTCAAAACTTCAAATTTAGTGCTTATCTGAAGAAAATGAGAAAACCTAAGGGACCAAGGAGACATATATGCCAGGACTAGGTGGTCTGTATGTGGATTCCAATTTAAACTAAAAACTGTTAAGACTCTTGAAATTTGACTTAGATGTGCAATATTTAAACACTCTAATCCTGTAGAGCCTCTTAAAAATTTCTAAAATTATTAGCACTTTATACAAAAACAGGAAGGAACCTTAGTGGATAAAAAAAATTAGAAGAACTGATACATATATAGCCTTGATTTACTTTTGATATAAAACAACTCTTCTGGGACTAAAAGAAACACTCAATATTTCAAACAGAAACTAAATGGCTTATGTCATTGAAAGTCCAAAACCATAGATCACAAAAAAAATCTTGAGAATTCCTATTTCAACAATAGAGTTTTAACAATAAATGTATACATTTGTAGCACAAATCTAGTTTCTATATGGTAGTCTTCATGTAACTTGAACTGCAAATAGGATATGTTTAATACTAGAAAGAACCATAAATATTCCTTTGTAGTAAAAACAATCATGAATGATGCAGTTTATGTACTTACTGTCAAGTTGTCTCTCAGTAACTGCATAATTAGCGTGCTATCTTTGTACGACTCTTCACTTAATGTATCAAGCTCAGCAATGGCTTCATCAAAAGCCTATGATTTAAAACAAGTATATTTCAGTGCTCAAATAATAATGACAATTGCTAAACTTCCACGCAACAAGTAAAATACATACTGTCTTTGCAAGAGAGCAAGCTTTCTCTGGGGAGTTCAGAATCTCATAATAGAACACCGAGAAGTTAAGGGCCAGACCCAATCTGATAGGATGCGTTGGTTGCATTTCCTTTTTGCTGATTTCAAAAGCTTCTTGGTATGCCTGTTGTGACTGATCCACAATCCCTGAGTAAAAGAACATAGGGACAAAGTTTGTGTTTCATTTTCATGCCTAAAATCAAACCTCATGTGGCCTCTGAACTGTAAGTTCAAACAACCTTATCTGAATTACTTTAGAAAAAAGGCTTGTCCATGCCCTGTGCCTCACACCTGTAAACCTAGCTACTCTGGAGGCTGTGATCTGAGGATAGTGGTTTAAAGTCAGGTTGGGTCAGGAAAGTCTGAGAGACTCTTACCTCCTATCAAACTACTAAAACGCCAGAAGGAGAGCTGTGGCTCAAGAGGTAGTGTGCTAGCCTTGATCAATCCGCACAACAAAACAAAGCAAAGCAAAGCAAAACAAAACAAAACAAAAGGTGTGTCTATTAACCAGCTACTAGTTAATAGTTAATATCAAGCAGTATAAAACAACCCTGGAATCGCTTTGCTTACATTTTTAATTAGCATTTTACACTCCTCAGTTATGCAGTGGCGACTACTTTACATAACTGGTAAGAAACTAATGTTGGATACAAAACTGGCTTTTCAGAAAAGAGTTATTAATGTTAAACAGTATATATAATCTCTTTTTTTCTTTTCTCTTTTTGCTGGTCCGGGGACTTGGAAGTCAGGGCCTGGGTGCTGTCCCTGAGCTTCTTTGTGATAAAGGCTAGCACTCTACCACTTGAGCCATAGTGCCACATCCAGCTTCTTCTGAGTTGTTTATTGGAGATAATTGTCTCACAGACTTTCCTGCCCAGGCTGGCTTTGAACCACAATCCTGAGATCTCAGCCTCCTAACTAGATAGGATTAGAGGTATGAGCTACCAGCGCCTGGCTAGCAGTATATAATTTCAAGATTCAAAAGCAAAAAGCTCTATAGTTTGCTATTCAGTGTTCTAAGAAATTCACTGTCCATACCACATTTTATACAAGTTCAACCAAAAAGGTTAAAACAAAAACAGCATACCTTTCTTGTCATCACCAGCAGCAACTTCAGCCAAGTAGCGGTAGTAGTCTCCCTTCATTTTCAAATAGAAGACTTTGCTCTCTGCTTGTGAAGCATTAGGAATCAAGAACTTTTCCAAAAGAGACTTAGGAGGGAAAAAAAACAAAACAGTAAGATAATTATACAACAAAATACTTTGGTGTCCACTCAATAATGAAGTACATTTTTTAAGTTTACACTAGCCTTAGTTATAAAAACTCTAACCCCCAGATATTGCCAATAATATAAGTGAAAATGTAGTAGAGGCATAATCTGTGATCTAAAAGTTAGCAGAGTGTTTTGGGCAGCAATATTTAAAATATGAAGGCATGTGCCACCACAGCCAGTTTATTGGTTGTAACAGTGTCTTGCTCATTTATTGCCTGAGTTAAATCTCCAACTTCAATCTCTAACTACTGATCTCTGGTTCCAAACAGCTAGTACTAAAGGTGTGCACCACCACACCAGGCCATAATGAGTTGTATTTAAGAACATTTTCTCATGAGCTGGCAATCTTTCCATTAAATGTAATCATCTCATGAGAATAAAAAGAGCAGAACCTAAGAGGTGAGCCTTTTGGGACTGTGGAGCAATGAATGAAGTAGAAACCAATAATGCATACAGAGTTCACACTAGAGGAAGGAGAACAAGATTAACTTCATTTACAAATAATATACAATGGGGCTGGGAAGATGGCTCAGGGGTAGAGTGCTTGCCTTGCATGCCTGAGGCCCTGGGTTCGATTCCTCAGCACCACATAAGCAAAATGAAAAAAGCCGGAGGTGGCGCTGTGGCTCAAGTGATAGAGCGCTAGCCTGGAGCTGAAGAGCTGAGGGACAGCACCCAGGCCCAGAGTTCAGGCCCCACCACCGGACCCAAAAACAAACAAACAAACAAAACCAAATAATATACAAGTGAAGTAATACCTATGACAGGCAAAACATTTCAAATCAAAGTACTCTTTCAAAAGTGAATTAAGGCAGTGAAAAGATTATGAACAGCAAAGATTAAACTCACAGAAAGGGTTTTTACCTAAATAAACATTTAATGATCATTACAATAAGTAAAATTAAAATGTCATCTTGTTTGGCTTAGTAACTACATAAATTTATTTGAATCTCAATATATTAAAAATTACCTCCCAGTTGATTTAAAGCAAAAAATGTGATGGTTGTATTACGGTGGGGGAAGCAGAGCTAGTATCCCTATTAGGTACACACACACACACACACACACACACACACACACACACACACACACACACACACACACACACACACACACACACACACACACACACACACACACACACACACACACACACACACACACGAAAAAAGCAGAGCCTACTCTTAATACCTACTTCTTTCTGGTATTAGATATACTCTAGGAATAAAGGTGAAATCCATTTTAACCTGTGCTGAGCCCTCCACCCCCCCCCCCCCCCCCCACAAATCAATTCTTACAAGAAAAAAAGGTACCTAATTCTTGGTTTCAGTCCTTGAATGGACTTCATTTAATTTTTATCTCTTTTTTATGCCTAACTGTTTGACAACGCTTTAAAAACAAAAACCTATATCCACTATGTTAAAATGGTGGCAAGGGCAGTTGAAGGAACAAACTTGTTAGCCCAGCTGCTCCAACCTATATATAAATGAAGGCTAGTACATATGCAGTTATGTAAGAGTCAATTAATCTTTGAAGATGTAAAAATCTGGCAGCAAATTTGATAGTAGATATGATGGCACATATCTGTACTCCCAACACTTGGGAGGTGGAGGCAGAAAGACATTGAGTTTGAAAGAAGACATTGATTCAAAACACCCAGAGCTAAGATTACAGCTCAGTGGTAAGGCACCTGTATGCATAAGCCAAGACCCTTGGATCAATCACCAGTAACCACCTCCATCAAGAGTGTAAAAATTAAAGCTATACCAGAAAACTCTATTTAGGCAAGGTGTTGATAAGTACTATGAGAGCTAGGAATCTGTCTTCCATGCATAAATTCTGTATTCCAAAAACACTATCTTTCATACTAGACTAACCTAAACCCATGCTCAACAGGCTGTTGGAAGCTGTATGTACTAACAGCTAAGTAACTTCCCTCAAGATGAACACTGCATTAGCCATAAAATAACAACTTTTAAAGCTATTAACTAGAAGCCACAAGGAGTAATAATAAGGCTTTTTATTGACTTAACAAGGACAAAATGTCAATAGTAGCCCGTGTTTTTGGTGAAATACCTGAATGTTGTATTGTATTCTTAACCTACTTACAAGCTTCATAAATGTATACTTGTATATTTTAGGAATTAGAAAAATCTGAACTACAATACAAGCATAATTTTAAGTTTCATTTAAATAAGCAGTTCACAACACTTAGAATAAAGTGTAATTATTAGCTTAACACCTGAAAATTATAAACGGTCTTCATTATCAAGAGTTTATTACTTTACCAAACTTCTATATAATAATGACAAAATAAGATAAAAACTTGAGGCTGATACTATGTCAGATAATATTGTGCTAAGAGAAAAAAGTACTCTACTTCTCTGCAAACCTAATCTACTCATTAAGAATTACAAATATCTAGATATTGTATTAGGCACATACATGAAGGAACTACAGTGTAGGGGCAAGTACCTAATATGCTCATATGACCACTGGAAAACTGAAACTTTCCAATGGTCAGCATTCTGAAGGAAACCAAAGAGAAATCCAGAACAAAGAGTGTGGGAGGTAGTGCGAGAGAAAAATTTATTGCCACCAAGAAATGTCATAAGAATCTCACAGACTGACGCTCAATCTTCTTGTGCTTAATTATAAGCATTAATTTCAAAACTCCTCTGGTATTCTAGGAAGCTGCTCACATGCAGTAAACACTCTTCAATCTACCACTTTATCCTTGTTAAGGTCTGATTTAAATTTGAGATCACTTTTTCTTTCCTTTAAGTGGAATCGGAGAATTTATAGGACTGTATCCTTAAGATTATATTTAACTTCTGCAATGTAGGGTTTTATTTGTTTTGAGATTTGGGGGGGGGGGGTCCTAAAACTTTAGTTTCCTAAATTCTGAAATTACAGCTGTGGGTTACCACACCAAGCAATATTGGATGTTTAAATGTTACTGGCTAAGTAAAAGGACATCATGTGCGTCAGAGTAAACAAAATGCAAACTGTGATCCTGGATGGAATTCTGGAACCACCCAGGAAATTCTATTTGCTAAATTTAAGAGATGTAGTTTATATAGCAGTTAGTTTATTAAATTCCTGACTTTCATCATTATAATGTAATTGCTATCCATAAGCAAAAAAAGCCAAGTGAGAAGCACAGGCTCTGAGTTCAAGCCCTATACCAGCAGACATACATAGAGTGCCACCCCACCCCACACAAAAAGTGCAATTATTTTCTAAAAGCAAATTTTAAGGAGAAATCCTTAAAATAGTGATTATTCAGGGAGATGGTGGGATCAACAGTGTACTTTGGCGTCTATCCTCTTATCTTTTGTACTCTTGCTTTTAAAATTCTGAGTATTAATTTCATACTTAAGAACACAAAAACACTGATGTATGTGTAAAGAAGAATGAAAAGCAGAAAAAAGGTCTCACTTTTTCCTAAGATAGTCTATCAGTTATACTATAAGTTTAATTTCTATGAAAGTAACAACATAAATCAGCAAAAACAAATTGAAAATACAGCTGTGCTAATTTTGTTGTATGACCTTACCAATATGTGAAGACCAAGCTCTTCCTCTATTTTAGATTCAACTACTATGGTTCATTTCCATAAAAAGAACAATGGAGACATTAGGACAGACATGCCTACTTTCACACAAAGCATGAATGTACACACATGTACACCCAACTCCAACTGGTGGTTAAAAAAGGTGGTGGTGCCAGGAACCCGTGGCTCATGCCTGTAATCCTACCTCCTGGGGAGGCTGAGATCTGAAGATTGTAATTCAAAGCTAGACTGAGCAGAAAAATCCATGGTCTCAGGAAAAAAAAAAGCCAGAAGTGGTACTGTGGCTCAAGTGGTAGAGCACTAGCTTGAGCAAAAAGAGTGAGCGCTCAGAAGCAGTTTCCAGGTCCTAAGTTGAAGCCCGAAGACCACCAAAATAAAAAATAAAAAAGGTAGTGGTAACAAACAGAGGCCCTCCAACTTGATTTTCACTAAGCACAGACTCAAAAATACAATCTAACACAGAATCCATCAATTTAATTAAAGTGACTTTTTTGGGGTCATTAAAGAAATCCTCCATCTTCCCAACAACCATACACAACAGAGTAAATATATTACGAAAAACCAAGATGGTATTATTTAAGTGACCTAATGTATGTCACTGAACCTGAATTCAATCTCTTCAACTGTGAACACGAAAAAGTGAGGCTGGATGTTCCTTCAACTCTGAAATTTAACAATTCTATTCCCAATTTTACTATTCAATTTAAAAACACAAAATACTCTACAAAGGTCATTCATTAAAAGTAACAAAGGGAATTTTAATTCTCAAGTACAACATTGTTCAAATTTTCAGTCTTGTACAATTTTTTCATGCATAATTTCCTCAGAACTTCTACTTTATTCTGTAGAACCAACCCATCATTCCTGTATCTCACAAAATTTTTAAAAAGTAAAGCCATTAGGAAAATTGAGGGGGGAGGGGGCTGGGAAGGTGGCTCAGTGGTAGAGCGCTTGCCTTGCATTGCCTGAGGCCCTGGGTTGGATTCCTCAGCACCACATAAGAAAAAAGAAAAAAGCCGGAAGTGGTGCTGTGGCTCAAGTGGTAGAGTGTTAGCCTTGAGCTGAAGGACAGCGCCCCGGCCCAGAGTTCAGGCCCCATGACTGGACCCAAAAAAAAAAAAAGGAAAATTGAGGGGATAGGTGGAGCTGGGGGAAAATTTTGAAAGGGTGACACTACTCATAAACTGACACATTGAAGTGAAATCCCTCTATACAACTATTTCAAGTTATTTTCTTTTGTTTTTCAAATGAGGATGCTGGAAAAAAGCAGTAAAGCTATTTGTTGTAGTGTCCATTAATTTTAAAACTAGTCTCTTACTCCCCCTTGTGGCTGGAGTGGCTTCCATTCTTTTCTGAACTGC